ATAATAATAATAATAATAATAATAATAATAATAATAATAATAATAATAATAATAATAATAGAATTGAGAAGACAGGAACTGACAGTAAGTGCTGCCTATGCAAAGAAGCTGAAGAAACAGTGGACCACATGGTAAGCTGCTGCAAGAAGATTGCACAAACTGACTACAAGCAGCGGCATGACAAAGTAGCAACAATGGTGCATTGGAAGATCTGCAAGAAATATTATTTGCCTGTAAGCAAGAACTGGTGGGACCATAAAATAGAAAAAGTCATAGAAGATGAAAAAGTTAAATTGCTCTGGGACTTCAGAATCCAGACAGACAGGCACCTGCCACATAACACCCCGGTCTTAACAGCTGCCGATAAGAAAGACCAAAAAGTCTGGATAATGGATGTGGCAGTGCCTGGAGACAGCAGAAGAGAAGAGAAAGAACTGGAGAAGATGACAAAATACAAAGACCTACAAATAGTAATAGAACAACTATGGCAAAGGCAAGCAAGGGTAGTACCAATAGTTAATAGGTGCCTTGGGTGCAGTCCCAAAACAAATGGAGCACCATTTGAACATCATTGGCATTGACAAATTTGCCATCAGTCAATTGCAGAAGGCAGCTTTACTTGGAACAGCTTCCATCCCGCGGCGATACCTGTAACACCATCAAACATCCAGATTTGCCTATCCCAGATTCTTGGTAAGGACTCGATAGGTAGACAAAAATGCCAGACTCAGTCTGAACATCTGGCTGACTGTTTGATGAATAATAATAATAATCCCCCACCATATAACATCCCAGGCTTAACAATTGTGTATAAGAAAGATAAAAAAAGTCTGAATAGTGTACATAGCAATACTTGGAGACAGCAAAATAGAAGAGGAAAAATTGGAGAATAATCACAAAATAACAGAGGCCTGGAAATAGAAGTACCAAAAGTAACAGGCACCTTGGTTGCAATCCCAAAACAACTGGAGCACTATTTGAATGTCATCACATTGACAAAATTCTTATCGGTCAATTACAAAAGGCAGAATTACTTAGAACAGCTTATATCCTGTGACGATACCTTTTAACACTATCAAAAAAACTTTCCTATTCCAAGTTCTTGAGAAGGGCTCAGAAAGTAGATTAAAACGTGAAATCCAATTTAAACATCTGGCTGAAAGCAATGAACCATAATGATGAACCATAATGATGATGATAATAATAATAACAACAATAATAATAATTTTACAAAATATACCAAGAAATTGCAGCTTCCTGCAACACCAACAAAACTGCAAAAACTAGTAACTGCACTACTCGGAACACTGTACATTTTAAGAAGATACTTGGTTGATAACCAGGCAGCAACTCGTATCAACCATCAGTGCCATTCAATGATATTTGTGATATATTTTTAAATGTTCAGTTGACTGAATTTCATGTTTAATGAATCAAAGAGATAACAATAATAATATAGAGTGAACCTTTACAAAATGCAAGCTTTGGGGTAAGAAAAAAAACCCCACATAGTGCAGGATTCTTACTAGGAGACTACACCTACATTTTTAGGGGATGGGAGAATGAAGAAGAGTTCAACAATGCTTAGAAAAGCATAGTCAAGCTACACTCTCAGTCACCAAACTGGCATGGATTCCTCCTTTTGAAAGCAAAGAATGCTTGTCAGTCTTATTGTCTGAATCTTCAGGTTATGTTATTATCCTGCGCAGGAAGCATTGGGTTTTTTGCTCTCGCTTTGTGTCAGCATGTTAATGCAAAACACAGCAGGGAGGAAATGGTCTTGGATGATTAGGTTTTATATGTTCCTTATAAAATCCTTTTAAAGCAATGTTACCTTTGGTGGTTTCAGAATGATGCACACTAGAGCACACTAGAGCACTAGAAAAGAAACGTTTGCATTTGATGTTGGGAAGCTGTCTTTCCCAAAGTAACTTTCCCTTCCCTGTTTTGAGAGAACCTCTATGTCAGGTTCAACTCCAGCCTTCCAACCATTCTTTTCTCTCAATAATCAGAGAGCCATTGTAGGTAGTATAACCAGAAGCCAACATAGGTTTTGTCAAAATGAGATTGTGCCAATCAAATCTTATTGCTTTTTTTTTGACAAAGTGACTAAATTAGTTGGACCAGAGAAATGCTGTGGATGTCATTTACTTGGACTTAAGTAAGGCATTGGATAAAGTAGACCACAACCTACTTTTTGGTAAGATAGAAAAATGTGTGTTAGACAGCATTGACACCAAATGGATTCATAACTGGCTGACCAGCCACACTCAACATGTACTCCTCAATGGAACTACATCTACATGGAGAGAAATATGGAGTGGCATATCCCAATTTCTGCCTTAGACTCAGTAATCTTCAATGTCTTCATGAACGATTTATCTGAGGGAATAGAAGGGAGATGACCAAATCTGCAGATGACACCAAACTGGCAGGAATAGCCAACACTCCAGAAGATAGACTCAAGATTCAGAAGCATCTCAACAGATTTGAACCCTGGGCCCTATCTAACAAAATGAAATTTAATGGTGAGAAAGAACTTCTGTCTCAGTGAGGCATCTGTTCTAGCCTTTCTTTTCTCTCAGCAGTACAGAAACAATATAGATCAGAGTTTTCCAAATTTGGCAACTTTAAGACTTGTGGACTTCAACTCCCAGCTGGCTGTGGAATTCTGGGAGTTGAAGTCCACAAGTCTTGAAGTTGCCAAGTTTGTGGATCCCTGATGTAGGTAATGGTGAAGATGTTGAATTCCCTGGAGAGGGGAAGATTCAAGTTCTCATTCAAAAAAGTTCATTGGGTGACTCTAAGCCAGTCACTCTATCTCAGTCCTCACAGGGTTATTCTGGTGGGGGGGGGGGGAAAGGAAGGAGAAGCCAATTGTGTCTTGAGATTCTGAATGAAAATTGGGGTATAAATCTAATGTAATAAAATAAGAAAGGCAACCTAGGACTTTCTTCTTATGTCAAAACAAACCTTTTCTTCTACTGATTAAAAACTCAGACCTATGAATCCCTTCCTCTACTGTAAGAAGACGGCTCTTTCACTGATGCACGCCCACACAGCCGCCGATCAGTGACTGGCTTCATTCTCCTGAGAGCTGTAAAGCCACTAAGTGTTGCATAGTCAGCTAATGAAGAAAACATCATTGTCGTTGGAAAAGAGGCCATAAATTGTGCACACAGATGTGTAAAGATGGATCTGGGCCACAGAGACTATGATGTTCACTTCTCTGTAGAAGGACCACTCTTTGATTTATGCAGATTTCAAGAGAAGTCTGCCAAGTGTTACAACTTCAGCCAAATAATGTACACAAGCGGTTGCACAATATGCATAGCTGCAGACTGTCAGGAGTATTAATTCCTGTTTATAAAATTATCTTTTGAATTGCTCTCTTTATTAGCATTCTATCCTTTCACTGTCTGAAACGAAGTTGTCTCCTTTTCCATGCTTCTTCTCACTTACATTAGATTGAGTTGATCCATCTCTGATGGTCTGATATGATTATATCAGCATATAATGCTAGGATCATTTTTGTCCATCAAGAGTCGATAAACTCAGCCTTGAGAGATTCTTCTTTTCCAGAACCATTTAAGGGGAAGTGAACATGGAGCCCTTGATGCTTTCTGAGCATGGTTGTTTGATTACAGATGTTTCATTACCCAACTAAGTATGAAGGTGCATTCTAGTTGGAGAATAGAACATCTGCAATCAAACAATCGCATTCAGAGAGCACCAAGGATTCCATAGTTCAATCCAGAAGTATAGATACTAACTTCTGTTGGGAAAAAAAAATGCCTGTGTCATGGAGATCCTACATTGCAAAGCTTTCATTGATTTGGTTACAATAAGCTTTGATTAGGGATTGAACGAACCTATTATTTAGATGCTTAAAATGTGCAGACTATGGTCTAGTGTTCATCACTACCATAATAGCAATAGGAATAGCATTTAGACTTATATTCCACTTCACAGTGCTTTACAGACCTCTCTAAGTGGTTTATTGCCCCCAACAATCTGGGTCCTCATTTTACCCATCTTGGAAGGATGGAAGGCTGAGTCAACCTTGAGCCTGGTGGGATTTGAACTGCCAAATTACAGGCAGCCAGCAGCCAGCAGAAGTAGCCGGGAATACTGCACTGCAACCACTGCACCACCATTGAAAGAGTTATGACAGAGTTATGTGCCATTACTGTAATTAAATTTCCCTTGTTGAAACATTGTTGAAACAACACTCATCATAAAATTTTAGAATTTAGCCCTAGGAGCCAAAACAGTAGATTTAATAGTTGGATTTCAGAATTATTGCAACATGACCTTAGTATGAAATCCTGCCTTAATCGATCTGTGAAATTCACTTGAACTTACTGTATAATAAAAGCCACCAATCAAACTAAAATTGATCATAGTAAATGGAGCGGAAGAATAACTACCAATACGTTATGAAAGAATTGAAAAGAATTAACCAAGTAAAAGAGCTTCTGAATGTATTGCAAATGCAAATACTCTTAATGTGATGTATAATCAGTCTTTGTAGGATTATGTTATCTCAGAAGAATTGTGGAAATTGTTTATTCACAAGTGCTCTCACTTCTCTGGCACTTCTAACACTTCTCTGTGTTACTTCTCCTCCCTGATACGTAAACTTGCTAAGGATGGGAAAAGCTTATTGTAACCAAATGAACTTCTGTCAGGTGTTCTTATGGGTGCACCAAAATTAAATCAGCTTGTCAAGCAGAAATAGTCTCAAGCAACCAAAAAAGCATAATAGCACTGGAGAAATTGGAAACATCTTCAGGATCATATTCTCACAACAGATTTTACTCATTAATAATGCACACAGGATAGTGTTTCTCAACTGTAGGAACTTTAAGAAGTGTGAACTTCAACTCCCAGAATTCCCCAGCCAGGAGGTCAAATCTACATTACTTAAAGTTCTTAGGTTGAAAAACATTGATTAAGGGCTCAAGAGGAAATCACAATTCCTACAGTCCTGGGCTCTGGCACTCTTAGTCAAAGATGCCCACAGTAAGAAATTAAGTAAATGCCATGGCTAGGAAAATGGTTAGGTATCTATACATAAGATGAAAATGGTGTATCATATTCTGAGATGGCTCTGGTCAATTTTAATGAATTTAAAATGTGCCTACATTCTAATTCAATTTTTATGTTGTTCATACCTTCCTTCCATGATATCCTTGAAGTCCAGAGTCACCCTATAAATTCAAGTGAAAAGAAAAAGAAAGAGAGTGAATTAAACTACCTGGAGACTCAAACCAAAAGATTCTTTTAAAGAAAATGAACACAAATCAAGATTCTGAAGAAGATACTGAATAAGATGAGAATTAGACCACTGGAGGATATTCATGTCTTAAGAAAATAACTATGATATCCATAGTTAAGAGCCATTTTACCCTTTAAGATCCACATGAATTTGGTTGTTAAGAAGAATTGTCCTTAGACAGGAAAGGTAGTGCCATGCAGCAGAAGGAGAAATATATGGAAACTAGCAAACAAACAAAAAAAAATACTTGGATTTTGATTGACAATTTCTTTGCGTCCTAACAAAAGAGTTCTGTGTACGCTCATTACCCCATAGCTTATTAAACCGCTCTCCCAACTTTTGAATATTGAAAGTCAATTATGTTTTTCAAAATGTACCTTAGGTCAATTCATTTCACACAATTAAATACATTATCATTAAGAGTTGGATCCAGTGTAGAAACAATCCACAACCCAGTTTCTAAGATCATGTAATTTGGGAATTAGGAAAATTAACATCTAACACATTGGGGAATGTTCAAACAGCTGGTTAATTTTAGAACTGGATTCTTAAAAAAAAAAAAATCTTTTTTTAATTGCAAACATTTTCCTGGTTCAGCGGAGAAACACTTAGAACCGATCTCATCTTGGCAACTGGATTTCTAGCCATGTTTTGGCTAATGCAATGTTCATGCACAAAAGCGCTGAAATTTCAGAAGACGCTGCTAATTTCAAGGTATTTTACTCACCTTTGGTCCAGGAGGTCCTGGCAAACCCTAAAGAAAAAGGAACACAAGATCACTAAAGTAGCAAAAGTGGTCAAAGGATCTTAAGCTCTGGGATAAGATCTGACCTTCAATATGGTTTGCATTGATTGAATAATGTCTTCCACTGAATAGTGAAACTTTCACTGACTTTTGCTCAGTTCCAAACATGTGGAGTTTTATCTAAAAGCCAACTTTAAAAATAGAGCCAGGGAATCTTTTTTAATATCAACTTTCTATGAAATGGCACATTAATTATTCATTCCTTGCCACCCACAAGCAGCTAGACAATTATGAAATGTGAAATCTTGTAATGGGATTTTATTTCATAATTAAAGCAAAGTTAATTTTAAAAAAATCTTTGCTCTTGCATGGAATGGCTGAGTCTCCCTTCCTTCACTGTTAGCTGAACCCTCAGTTATGCAATGTAACCAGGACTAAAATGAGTCCAGAAACTTCATTCTAGGAGAAATATGACTTTTGTCTGATGAATAAAACGTTGCAGTGGAATTCATCTATTAACCCATGCAACCTCTGAAATTCAACATGTGTTCCATGTTGTTCTTCTCAGGCTCTGAGAAAACATTGTTAATGCAAACAAATGCAAGAAAAATGATTAAATGGCTTACCTTTCCATCCTTGCCAGATTCTCCGGTTTTCCCCTAGGGGAACAAAGTAACAAGACTTTCTGAGATACCACAGGTATCGTAAATCTGAGCAGGCCATCAAAGTAAATCTGAGTAGGCCAACAAACTCTTCATCATTTGAAGAGTTTCTTAACTTAAGAATTGGCTTGGGAGTGAAATGAGTTCAAACCATAATTACCTCAAGCTGGGCTCTTTCACAGATGGGAGTCATGAAATCGGCAGTCTTGTGTAGCCACCTCATGGCAGAATAACAGTATAATAGAGTTGGAAGGGACCTTGGAGGCCTTCTAGACCAGGGGTCTTCAACCTTGGCCACTTTAAGACTTGTAGACTTCAACTCTGAGGAAAGCTGGCTGAGGAATTCTGAGAGTTGAAGTCCGCAAGTCTTAAAGTGACCAAGGTTGAAGATCAATCCCCTGCTCAAACAGGAGACCCTATCAGAAAAATGGTAGTCCAACCTCTTCTTAAAAACCTCCAGAAGATATCAAAGGCTTTGATGCAACCTCAGAAACCGGTCAGACATAGAGGTAAAAGGTCCATTTAGAGGTTCTTGGAGAGAGGGAGATCCACATAGACATGAAAGACACTTACAGCTGGGCCCATTGGGCCAGGTGGTCCTGGAGTCCCGGGTGGTCCTGGGGGCCCAGGTAGCCCTGGAGGCCCTTGGCTGCCTGCCTGTCCTTGTTCACCCTGAGGTTCATTGAGAATAACATTACTATAAACTCAGCCAAATAACACGGGAGCACAAATAACAACCTAAGACAAGGAACACGGGTAAAGCCAAACAAGGTCTTGTTAGAAAGTCTCTGAAGGGGGTTTCCAAAACTCAGGCAAAGACTAACTGTGGATTGGCTGATAGTGCATTCCCACATTTTTAAAAACTTCCACTACAAGAAGTTGGATGGGAAAATGAGAGTGCATATATTAAACGGCATCCAATAAAGTGTTATAACTTTATTTGGATTTTCCTGTATCTAACGCTAAAATTCACATCACATGAATTTTTCTGTAGGTATGCATTTGAAGTACCCTAGTGATAAAACCTACTTGGGAAATTACTCCTATTGTGTCAATGGAATTCCATCTTTTGATCATGCAATACTTTATGGTGACATGAGACTATTTTCAATGACGCCTAACAGCACATTAAATTCACGTATGATGGAGCAAAACAAATTTTAATATAGCTCCATTTAGCCTATGACATCTGGTGAGGGTGTTGTTTGGTCTCTGACTTCTTCCTCCATCCCTGATAAGCCGCGGTGGCACAGTAGATTGCAATACTGCAAGCTACTTCTGCTGACCGCCGGCTACAGTTCAGCAATTCGATCCTCACTGGCTCAAGATTGATTCAGCCTTCCAAGGTCAGTAAAACAAGGACCCAGATTGTTGAGGGCAATATGCTGACTCAGTAAACCATTTAGACAGGGCTGTAAAGCACCATATAAGTCTAAGTGCTATTGCTATCCAGTAGGATTTCAGGTGGATCCTGGAAGGCCAATCCAGACCATCGGAATGCATAATTCACTCTAACAAGAGAACTTTGCATGAATGGGCATCTTGCTTATACAAGCACTCTGGCTGAGTTGAACCTTATCTACCAAAGCACATAGAACATTATTCCCCAAAATGAGGTTGACGTGGAGACTTCTGTCTATTGAAAGGTGTTATTGCTGGACAGCTGAGATGGTACAGGACTTGTTAGATGTCCACATATAAAATCTCTGCCAGTCCCAATTCTGATATTTATATAATTGTCTCTAAAGTCAGTGATGGCCCAGTAGATGTGGTCAAGCATTGTTTATACTTTCATGAAAATAATGGTCCTATTCACTATGGTATTAGAACAGGGGCCTTCAAACTTGACAGCTTTAAGACTTGTGGATTTCAACTCCCAGAATGTCATGTTAGCTCAGGAATTCTGAGAGTTGAAGTCCATAAGTCTTAAACTTGCAATTTTGAAGACCCTTGGTTTAGAACTATGGATAGCGAATTACCTTTGCTTAGTAGATTGTATTGTAAAACAGATTGGTTCCATTAAAATCAAATTAAACCCCTTTTTTTAATAAAAAAAACCCAAAGCATTATATTCTTGCTCTGCAATACTCTTTCTTCTAAGATCTTATATGGTCTAACAATACTTTCAAGACAAGTAACCACTCAACCACGTGTTCATGCTTAGCTGCTACACAAAGCGTGCAAATGCATTAAACCCCCATCTGTCAATTCTGTGAAATGGGGATGTGACTGAATCACTAGAGAATCTTTGCTTTTTCTAGTTTTAATGAAACCCTCTCCTAAGGAAGACGGGAAGCTGATTAATTATCAGTTTCAGAAATGAACAGACCAGGAGTAGGAGGAAAAGGAGAAGGATACCTGGAAGGTGCGTCTCTTTATGACTGGGGGCGGAGCCAGTCGCACTGAATTGAGAAGAGGCAACAACTGAAGACCGAGCCAGAAGGTCACAGGGAAAGGCCAAAGGTCACAAGGCAAAAGATGTCAGTAGGGCATCAAAAGTCAAACAGAGCAGCCAGGGAAGAAAATGGAAACAGGGGAAAAAGTAAAATAACCAAAGGAAGGAATAAAAGTAAGTCTGAGTTCATCAATATCAAGGAAGTGGGTGATGGAAAAAGCATTGTCATTGGGCACCTCGTGGCAAGCCTCTGAGCCGATCTGTTTCTGTTTTCCATTTAACTTCCACAACATAAGTGTTGCTGAAGCAGCTTCACTCTTCACAATTTAGAGCAGGGGTGTCCAACTTTGGCAACTGTAAGACTTGTGCACTTCAATTCCCAGAATTCCCTAGCCAGCCATGTCTGTTCCAAACTGGCTGGGAAGTTCTGGGAGTTTCAACTTCATAAGTCTTTAAGTTGCCAAGATTGGACGTCCCTGATTTAGAGTAGTCTAATTTCTACTCATATAATTTGGAAAATTTATAATGAATTCACCGGTTCATTCAGCCAAGTTCCACTGCAGTACAACAAAGATTCCTTAATTCTTTCTCAGTCTATCAAGAATACTGCTGCTGTTAGGAAGTATCTGGCCACACTATCTGTACTTTCCTATTTTTATTATGTATACTTCTCTTTGGAAAAGAACATCTGTAACTCAGATTGAACTATGGAGTTATTGGTGTTTTTCAAGCTTAGTTGTTGGCAGATGTTTTATTACCCAGCTAGTTAACAGCAGTGTGAGTGAGTACAAACCCTACCCTTATTCAGACTGATGGTATAACCTGGTTGGGTCGTGAATGTCCTCAAGCAAGCAAACTCAGAGAATGCTTTCTTTGCTTATTAACAAAGATGTCCTTAACAATTTTGGAGCATTTTTTCATCTTTTTCTGAGTAGTCAATACATTCTTACAATATGGATCCAAACAACAGGAGCCTTGGATGGCAAGCTCCAAGGGCTAGTATTTGGAATTTAACATGCAAATAAAATAAATAGAATCGCTGCAAAAAATATGGACAGGGTTCGAGTGTAATTCCTCAACCCTCAATTAATTCCATGAATGAAACAGGCAACTGAGTAGGACATGCAAGACAATGGAAGCACCTCTTTTCAGCAAAGTATCCAGCTCTAACCTGTAGAAGAGATTACTTTGGGGGTGGATTCCTGAAAGGTTGCATAAAATGAAATTCACATAGGGCCTATTGCCTATAACTCAATTCATCCATCCAGGCTACAAATGAGTCAAAAGTTACCAAATATTCTGGCAGGATTCAGTCACACTAACTGGGTCCAGATTTATTCTTTTAAAAATTCAAAGTCTCCACCCACTTCCTACAAAATGAGCCTGGTTAGTAGCTCATGAATTGTTGCACAAGCTGGCAAAATTGCATTACATCGTAAACTCATTTTCTATTGGCCAGGCAGAAAACAGTTGATGTATTTCAGCCATTGTAGGCAGTATTTCAGAGATGCGTTCATTGTTTACAGGCCCTGGCAATGAGTTCTGTAATGGAGAGACCTGCTTTTTTGAGCTGTTATTTCTCTCTATCTCTTTGGAAGATTAAGCTGCCATGGGTTAAAGGACTGGGTTTAGAAGTTCATAAATGAGATGGGATTATTTGACTCTGTGTCTACTTGGGCCTGAAATTTAAGACCCCGCAGGTGAATTATGTGTTAACTTGACTTTTTAAAATGTTCCTGTAAGCTTTTTTTTCCTCCTTGAGAAGTCAGCTAAATAAATTCTTTCAGTTTTTCTCTTACTAAACACGATAAGAGCTATCGGAGTAGCCACTTTATGATTTTCTATTCTCTTCAGCAATCCAAAGTTATCCAAAAATTATCTGTCCCAAATGATTTACTGCTACAAAAATTCTACTGACTATTCACATTAGGACTTTATTTCTACAACTGAAGCCCCACCCCCCACCCCTGTTTTCATCAAAATAAATGCAAGAAGAAACAAATCTTGTGGTGGCTGAAGTCTATTCCTATTTTGTGGGCGTAGAGATGTGCCAGAAGGTCTCCCATGACAACAGCTGTAGACACTCTAAAGATTTTTTTTTTTAACTCATGTTTAAAGATATTTGCTCTTTAGGGCAAGTCAAGTTCCAGTCTTGTTGCAAAATGAAATGGCTTTGTAATATTGCAGCCCTGCCATCCAATTATTCTGGGCGATGGTTTAAAAAAAGAGAACATGTTGTGGTGATATATTGGAAGCATAATTTTGGATTGAGAAGGCCACAATTAGAAGCAGATCCAAGGCCACATTGAGAATTAACCAGTGAACCACAGAAACAAAATTGCCATGATCCTTGGAGATCAAAAAATGAAGAGAATGAACCAAATTGGAGTCTGTATGATTATGTGTTACATGTAATCTGGTTAAGGCACTAAATTTAAGCACTCGTTGTGGTGGTGTGCCTTGAAATGCTGTTAGTTTCAAGGACGTAAACTGGACCAAGATCTTCTTACTGTTATTATGTCTCAATCTTTGCTTGATTATATCATTTCCAATAAACGGAGATTCTGGAGAATTATTTATTCATAATTTATAAATATGAAGATCTGCATATTTTCTAAAGATGTGAACTAAAACTTTGCTGATGAGAAGATAACTTTAAAAACTTTCCCAGTTTGTATTTGGTACTCAATTCCTCAAGTCTGCCATTACTGGGGAAGGCAAATTTTGAGAAGCCATTTGTAAGAAAATTTATAAACAGCAGTGCTGAAAGGTGGATGTTGTGACAGGAGCTCTTCTACTATGTACAAAAATACTGAATACATAAAATAAAAAAAAGTTTAGGAGGAAGCAGTTGAGTTTTGGTGGTACCTCATAGAGTCATCAAAATAAAACATCAAAGTCTCACAAAATGGCCATAACTTATTGTTTTCTGGAATTCTCCTTAAAATCTCCAAAGATTTTTGCCATTCTTGCTGGCAATCTTATTTAAATTAAGGTGAGAAAACCAAATCAAATAAAAATCCAATCAAAACCCAAATTAACATACCTTAACTTTAATGTTGATGTCCTGCAATGGCCATCTGCATTTGTGGCTTATAGAGTGAGCTAGGAAATTCTAGTTATGCTGAAGGCCATAAAAAAAAAAACACAACAGTTGGGAACAGCTGCTCTAAATTGATGACCCTGGAATTCCTACTGGTATTATCAGAAATTACTGGGAACAATGCAAAGACTGCCTCGTTTCTCTATAGCAAAAGCCTCAGTAAGGGGGTATGACTATAAGGCATGGGATTAGATGTCCATTTTGCCAGTGTGACCTTCCTGATTATCCACAGACACGTTACAAAAAGTTTGGTATTGTTCAGGGTATGCAATATCCCTTTTTTGTTGTTGTTTTTTGCAACAGGACTGGTAAAGGTCAAACCATTTCTTTCTCACAAACCTTCAATGCAAGGATGTGATTAGAACGCAGAGCTGCAAGTGTGGTGCTTAGGTATTCCTGGGGGGACAGTGGAAACACACAATGGGGTCAATTCAGTTCACTGTATCATCAAAATCATAAAACCAATGTGGTAGTTCAAACATCAGTTTGGTTTGAAAACTCAACCCAGATGTTGTGCTTGTATCTGTTGTGGGTTTTTTTTTTACCTGTTTTGGTCACCTCATCTGTTTTCTAGGCTGGTATTGTGTAACAGCAGAGGTCTCCAAACTTGGCAACTTTAAGACTTGTGGACTTCAACTCCCAAAATTCTATGCTGGCTGGAGAATTCTGGGAGTTGAAGTCCACAAGTCTTAAAGTAGCCAAGGTTGGGGACCCTAACACATGCATAATCTCCCAGTGTGCTAATTTCCTCCACTGAAACAACAGTATCAATGGATACTACATTACAGTGGAATTCCATTTCAGGTCTTACTTCACTAACAGTAAAAAGAGGAAAAGTAATCCAATAACATCCATCTATATATCATTAAAAGTTGACACTAATACTGCAGTCAGACCTTGGTCAACTATTACTCAAACTATATAAGAAAAAAAGTGGAATATTCCTTTATCATTATTCCTTTCTCTCTTTTAAAAGCATATATAAAATATTTGCTGGCAGGAGATGCAAGAAATCTATTTGCTATTAAATCCATATCATGCAGATATGCAGGGTTTTTTTTGACTAATATTGATTACTGACTAAGAAATCAGTTGTGAGATTGGCAATTGTGCCCTTCTAATTGTGTTTAACTTCGATAATCTCTATCCATTGTAGCTTACATATTATGGAAATTAAAGTCTATCATATTTAGAGGGCACCAGATGGGGGGAAATGCTTCATCTAAAAAAAAAAAGTTTGCAACACAGGCTGAAATTTTAAATAACATGATTTTGGGGGGGGGGGGGCAATATTACCTGGAAATGAAATGAAAAACATTTCTATGATTTAAAACTTTGGGGAGGGAGGCATTTAAGAATATCTTTGGCAATATTTTGAAATGTAGCAGAATTAAATTAAAAACAACAACAATACAGCCTTCGTCCAGATTAGCTTTTTTAGTTAAATTCCGAAATTATGCTGGCTACAGTTCCTATCTTTTAGGATTTCAGCTCCAAAGGAGAAAGCAGAATATGAACAGCTGAAGGCATAGCCTCCCCCCTTTGCAAAGTTTTGTTGACTTTTCTCAGCCTTGTTCTTTGTTCTTTGATCTCTTACCACTGAGCTCATAATGGGATGGAGAGAGATTTCTTAAATGATAATTCTAATAACCAACAGCATCCTAAGCTGAGATGGCCGGATTCTTTTCTCTTTGTAGCCCTATATTTTTTACTTCTTTTATTTTATCATCATGCTCTGGTCTCTTCATTTTGATCAGCGTATGGTGAACTTACATCTGAACTCAGAAATTGTTCAGATACCAGCCAATGCTTAATACTCTACTGCCATTGCTTTATTAAGTAAATACACTTGGCCAGAACATCAAGTTAATCAGCCAGCTTTCGGTTCCTACCCCTTTCTGTTTCAGATGCCTCTGAAAGGTTTATTATCTGCATACGGTTGTCATCCAGAATTCTTCACCAGCTGCAGCTCCAAATTTCTCTTGGAGGAAGTCCAGATCTCAAGTCTGTTTTCCAAAGGGATTTTCAAATCCCGAACAGAAAGTATTTAAGCTTCTGCCTCTATTATCATTTCAGCCTCTATGTTTGATGTCTTTCCAACGTATTCCATAAAGCAATAGACATTGTTTGTGATGGATTAGATCTATTTGAACCTCATGATACATGCCTTCCACTTTGACTTTGGAAGCAGAGGAATCAAGATAAAGAAATCAACTGGGCAGCTTTCTTAGCTATCTGGAATTTTGTGAATATGTGAAGAATATTAGGATATTCTTCCCAGCCAGCCTTTGTAACTTTTTTTGGCTCCTAGGTCAGGGTTACAAATCTCATTCATGACTATAGATGCCAGCTAAGAAGTATATATATACACATATATACATATATATACATACATATACATATATATACATATACATATACATATACACACACACACACACACACACACACACACACACACACACACATATATATATATATATATATATATATATT